ACCTGACATTTTGTGCCAGGACCTCCCTATCAGGTATAATTCCACCTAAACTTGTCAAGAGGGAAAAAAACCTAACATTACCTTGAAACAATGGGAGCATTTGTTCTCTATTCTTATATTTTAAGCACTGGCAAGTTCCTCAGCAGCAGCTCTCAAAAGAAAACCTAGAAGCCATAATTGGCTAAACTCAAAGAGCACTGAAACACCAAACAAGAAGTCATTGCAAAACACTCCCCCTCAAAGTGTCTTTTGAACCTGCAACATTTGCAGAAGCAGAGTAGTCAAAACAAGAGAGTGGGGGGGATATCGTAATAGTCTGGATCTTCTCAACCTAGCATCTTCAAAACCAGGAGAGGTTTTAAAAGTAAACTTCAGAAGAGAAAAACTCTTCAGTTCATTTTCATCCTCTACAGTAAATACTGGTTTGGCTTATATTAGGCGTGGAGTCAAGCTTTTATTCAGAATCCATTTCTCAGTCAGTGACTTGCATTTGAGGGAAGATCACATCAAAATTTGCATTTTTAAGACACCTGAGTTAGAACTAAGAAGACAAAAGCAGTATTTAACTACTACACAAGGGGGGAATACAGGTTTCTAGAAGTAAATAAAACCTTCTCTAGCAGAAGAAATAACCTTCAAATTTAACCAAAACAGAGAGGCAACCTGACTGAAAGGCTCACTCTCACTTTAACAAAATCCCTTGCATTCTTTACCCCTTGGAAAGACATCTAGAGGACCTTCTGCTTGCCTAGCACCAAACAAAAGACTGGGGCACCTTCCTGAAATATGATGATCGTGGAAATTGCAGCTCCTGGACAGGGTGCTTAGAAAGCATTTTGCTGTCACTATCAACTAACCCTGAGTAATACACTTAAAGAAAACAAAGCATGGGCATTGTTTTTAAGTGTAGATTAGCACTTTAAAACTTTAAAAACAAAAGTTGGTGAAACTGAGAGGCCGGCTGACCATTGTAAGCTAAACTGACAATATATGCAGTAGACAGACTTCACAAGTATTTTAAAAGATAGTAAGCATATTTTATGCTTCTGATACATTCTGATTATAAACAAATAGAGAAGTAATTCTGGAATGTAAGTACACAGGTTAAGCAAAACTGTTAGGCTTATCAAGTATGCATATTCTGATATTAACTTGAAGTGATACTCTGTCACTTACAAATTAAAAACTTTGATGGTTTGAAAGAAGCCACTGAGCTACCCAAGTTCCTGCTGGAGAACACAGAGGTAGATTAGAAACTCAAATAAGCATTGTGTGACCTCAAGTGAGTCAGGTCTTGATTGTATGCAATTTTAATCACAGCATGGAAAGAACAGATATTTTGGTACTTAAAAAAACCAAACAAACAAAAAAAAACAACTCCCAACTTTTCATATACACCAAAACTATTGCCTTTTTTTTTTTTTTTTTTTTGCCATTGCCTGCAGGCCAGGGGGTGCAGGCAAACTCCATATCTTCTAGTAAGTGCAATATTCTTTGGTACATTTTTCTTGTATAGTGCAAATCACTTTGAACTTTTCAAAATAAGATGTCCCCCTGCTTAGCTGTACCACGGCGATAAGTGCAGGCATGAGGCTCACACATTACCACTATCTGTAGTAATACACTTGCTTACATAATGTCCCAGGAAAAGTAATTTAACCATGCAGTTCAGGAAAGTTCATAAAAACATTCAACTTGCCATAAAGATAAGCAAAAAAAGCTGCTGTTCGGGTGCTCTAGTGTTACTTTTGTTACCAAAATGTCATTTTTTTGCTTTTAAAAGCGAGTATTAGCACATACTTTCTAAAATCTGCTCTGTTCAAAAACAATGGCTTCTTTCAAAACCATGTGTCCATGAAGCCTCCCAATTTGATGCTGCAGAAACCTGGACAGTGTCTGTACCAGTGGGGGTCACTTTTCTTTTCATCCTGCCGGATCAGCTATAATGACTTGATGTCAGGGAATATTTAGAGACAGCTCAAAAAGAGGAAAGTTGGAGTATGGCAGCAGGATTCCCTTCTCTGTAGACAGATCACTGGAGCCTTTGATATGCAAAAACATTGTTTTCAGCTATGGCTTGAGATATAAAAGGGAAGTGCTAGATATCAAACAATCAAAACCTGAAGAAAGCTATTCTAAGTTTAAAAAAGGGAGTGGGGGGTATAGTCTTAATCCACATTTTTGAAACAGTGTTGTCTTCTCCAAAGAGACCTGCCTTTATTTTTCTTTCTCTTGTTTTTGTGTAATTTTGAGAGAAGGGATAAAAAAATGCCAAGAACATAATGAGCTTTAGTGCTTTCATTTTAATCCTACACATTACTGCTATTATAATAGTGGCAATAAATGAAGGGATGACCATCAAATGGAGCAAAGAGGAAACATTTTATGTGCTGCAAAGGTAAAACAAATGAACTCCGTTTCTCCTGTGTGTGTATATATAATATACGCATACTAGAGCTTCTGTTTTGCTTAAGACTAAGATGTTTCTTACAGCTCTAAAAGCTCTGAAGAAAATTTATGTTTGGGTTTGGCTTTTTTTTAGCAAGTACTTGAAAGGTATTGTAACCTTCAAATGCCTGTTTAAGAAATCTGTATTCCTGCTTCACAATATATTTTTAGAAAATGCCCTCTTATCACAACTTCACGTTAGTTCCTCAGAGACTCTTATGCAGCTGTTTGTAACAGTTTCAGGAATAGAGCTTGAACTTCTTTGCCCACTTCAGTAATAGACATCAAGAAAAATGGACCCTGCAAGAATATAGAGCCTTTTTGTTTTATTTTACAATGATTGCATAATTTACCCAAATTACGTAACAACAAAAATATATTATATTCTAAAATGTAGCCACACAGATTTGAGTTTTTGCCTTAAATAAAGCATACATTAAAGTACTTATTTATGCCACAGTGAGGGTTCTGTCATTTTAAGTTACTATTTTCATTACACAATTGCTGAAAACAAGGTGCAGTAACAAAGCTCAGATGAGCATGAACACAGCATCAGGAGGAAAAAAGGCTTTACCCCTCCCTCATTAGACAGCCACACCATCTCTTTAAGTATGGGGCTTTTTCTTTCCTCCCCTTTGTAATGGTAAACTTTTTTCTATTAAAAAGAGCAGCATAATTTGTATCTATGTAAATAATTTTGTATCATTGCATATTTCCTGCTGCTATAGGAGTGAGTATGACTGAGTATTTCGTGATGGACCTGCTTCAAGTTGCAAAAAAGAGTGTTTTTAAACAGAGACTGTTTCTTTTTAAGTCTTAACATTTTCTGAAGGACCAGAAGCTACTCCAGTTAAGCTCCTAGGAAGGCAGCTAAGCAAGCATTACTCAGCATGCTGTTTCTTTCCAAGGATTGTGCTCAGTTCTCTGGACAGCATGCTGTCACAAAAGAGAGAAGCAAATAAGTTTTAAGGATTTTTTTTAATTTTAGATTTAACCACTTCTATTTCAGACATAGAAACTACATGCTCTCGGGGAACACAGACTTGTTATCTCACTGGATACTTTCTGGACTAGTGATACAAAGTAGCCCCAGTTAAAAAATACCATAAAAAATAACCAAGTAATTTCTTCAATAAATAGGAACAGCCAAGACTGAATTTTTTTGTATTTTTTCTTTGAAAAATCAGCTAAAATACTAATCTAACACCACTTACACACTGCAAACTGTCATACAATAGTGTAGAAGTTCAGACCACAAGTGAAGCCCATTTCATGTACAAAATCCACGTATGTATCTCTGTTGTCAAAGAGTTGATGCAGAACTTACTTAGCTAGTCCCCAATTCAAAATCAACCTGCTGCAAATGTAAAACATTAATACCATATTTTAGCCAAACCACTTCCCTGTTCATCCAGTAACTACTGAATTGTAATTAGCTCCCTTTACATTTAAAACCAAGGAAAACATCATCACCTACTTCAGTTTACCAAGAACACAAAGGAAGCAACCATTCTGGCCTCCTCCAAGAAGGCAGGGCTGACATTTGTAATCAGGTGGGAACCATCATTTACAAGTACTTTTTTACTGTCTGTCAATTCAGGATGACTTTATTTGCTACTGAAATAAAGCAAAATATTGTTCCAGCAAAAATGCTGTAAATTGAGACTGAACAGCAAAACGTTTTAATTAAGAGCTCTGTATCTTTCTGAAATACCAGTACTGAAAAGATGTGCTAGTCAGTAAGCATATCATGATTTATATAGGGAATGCAACATAACTCTGAATACTAGTGTCCTCTGGTTGTTACTAATTCCAATTTTTTTGTTTGTTTTTACTTTTGCAGGAAACCTTAAGAGTTCAAGGAAAGCTATAAAAGGGGAGTTTTCTGGGAAGAAAATATTTTTTGTGTGTTTGTTTTGTTGGTTTTTTTTAATGAAGAAAACCATCTGAATTGTTTCTACAGTAGAGTAATTTGCATTCTTGCAGCACAGGAGTAATTCTTTCCTGCATTACAAATTTGGAAGAAGTGTTAAAAAAGTGAGAAGTCAGAAAATGGTTCTCTCGCTGCGTGGATTTATCAGGATGTAGCTACTGTACAAAGTTTATACTTGGATAATTCTGGAGAGGAAAAAGTAGCCTCTTTCCTGACCTTCTGAAGGGGCTACCATCCTTCAAGCCTCAACATAATGAATAGTTTCCATCACGGGGCAGTGAAGCTACCACCTCTGACTACTACGCTGCACAGAAGAGTTTGTAAGAGCTACAAAGAAAGTAATTCCTGCTAAAGGCATTAAAAACCAAACAAAAGAGGCTCTTCATTCACAGACTTTACATGAGGACAAAAATAGAGTGAAGCTGAAGCTTTTCTCCACCCTGTCCTGGTGTGCTTATGTACCATGATAAATCTTGGTTGGAATGCTCATTGAGTATCGTGCCAGGAGCCAGGAAACACACACCACCGAGAAGGACCATCTGAGTAAACACAGTTGAGACAAAAACAGCTCCATGGAGTAAACCAAAAGAGTGCCTCACAAGAAAGACACTCCTTTACTGGATATCCTCAAGCACAAAATTTACTCATACTTTTAAATACGGTAGGATCAATATTAATTTATTTCCTTTTCTGTGCCTCAGAGAATAAAGTTCAATTAATATATGAAACCACAAGAGAAAAAGGTCATGACACTGCTTCATGCATAGGTCATCTTGCAGAAGTTCTCACAACCCTAATTACAATAGTAATTGAATTATGTTTTCTTAAAAGCTATAAAAATGCTAATTGCCTGAGCTCAGTATACAAACAGACTACAAATTTCAGTCTCAAGAGTTAATTTATATTACCCTACCCTGAACAGGTTGAACTAATAAGATGGGAAAATGTGGTTAAACCTGCCAGATAGTCTCTTATTGTGTACTGCTTAGTAAGAAGACTTCTGAGAATGGCAAATATTTAAACATTAAATTAGGCATGTCACAAAATATGCCATCCAGTCAACTAGAAAGCCCTAGCTCTAGCAGCTACGTCAGTTTGTTAGCTACCTACCAGTTGTAATATTCACCTTTCTGAACATTTCAGCTCAAAAGCCAAGTAAAGTAGGCTGCAGTATTTCTAAGATAGACAACATGACGTTGACCACGTGGAAAACCTTGGGGAAAGAAGTCTTTAGCTGGCCCTTGCTCTTTTGTCTGCATTTAATGCCTTGCCATTAAGGACTTTTTTGAACCTCCAAAATAGCTACCACTAAAACTTGTGGGTTTGGTAAGGAGTTTATAGTTCACTTAAGGGCTCCTGGGATAGTTAGCTGGCTTAGGAATTACTTCTTATCTTTCAGATATAGAATGATTTACTTGAACTCTGGTGTGACTTCAGCTCTGTACCTAACTGGTATCTGTGAACAAAGATTGTCTCTACACATGAAATGTGAAGGAATCCTTAGAAATAGCCTTCGCTTAAGCAAAACAATTTACTTTAAGTTAATTTACTATGCAGATTAACCTTTTAACTTTATTGAATTAGTATAAGTAGTGGTACACTTACTGATGTAAGGAAAAGAAAGTAAAAACATGTCTGCAAGCTTGAATTTTGGTTTAATATGTGTGTTTCAGATGTCTGCTGTAATGTTGAATTTTCATTGCAGTTTCTTCACTGATGATCTGGATAATTTTGTTTGTTTGGTTTTTTTAGATTGTTGAAGATCAGAACTGTATACAAATCTCATCATTCCTGACCATGATTAGTGTAACCTGGAGCATCTTCCTAGTTTGGACTAAAATAGGGCTGTTCCTTGACATGGCACCTTATTCTGTTAGTGCCAAACCATGCCCTTCAGTATGTCGCTGTGATGTGGGTTTCATATATTGTAATGATCGCGATTTGACGTCTATTCCTACAGGAATCCCAGAGGATGCTACTACCCTCTTCCTTCAGAACAATCAAATAAATAATGCTGGGATTCCTTCAGAACTGAAGAACTTGCTTAGGGTGGAAAGAATTTATTTATACCACAACAGCCTAGATGAATTCCCCACTAACCTCCCTAAGTATGTTAAGGAACTGCATTTGCAGGAGAATAACATAAGGACCATTACTTATGATTCACTTTCACAAATTCCTTATCTGGAAGAACTGCATTTGGATGATAATTCTGTTTCTGCTGTTAGCATCGAGGATGGAGCCTTCCGGGACAACATCTATCTCAGACTTCTTTTTCTCTCTCGAAATCACCTTAGCACCATTCCCTGGGGTTTGCCTAAAACGATAGAAGAGCTACGCTTGGATGATAATCGTATTTCCACGATTTCGGAGCCGTCCCTGCAAGACCTTACAAATCTAAAACGCCTTGTTTTAGACGGAAATCTTCTAAATAATCATGGATTAGGAGACAGAGTCTTCATGAATCTCGTCAATCTTACAGAACTGTCATTGGTCCGCAATTCGCTCACAGCTGCCCCGGTCAATTTGCCAGGAACAAATTTAAGAAAGCTTTATCTTCAAGAGAACCACATCAACCGTGTGCCAGCCAATGCTTTCTCTTACTTAAGGCAGTTGTATCGACTAGATATGTCTAACAACAATATTAGCAATTTACCTCAGGGTGTCTTTGATGATCTGGACAACATAACTCAGCTGTTTCTTCGCAACAACCCTTGGCACTGTGGGTGCAAAATGAAATGGGTGCGAGACTGGTTACAGTCATTGCCTTTAAAAGTTAACGTACGGGGACTGATGTGTCAGGCACCAGAGAAAGTCCGTGGAATGGCTATCAAAGACCTCAACACAGAACTATTTGATTGTAAGGACGATAGCATGATAAGCACCATCCAAATCACTACTGCAGTACCAAACACATTGTACCCAGCCCAGGGACACTGGCCAGTATCTGTGACCAAACAACCAGACATCAAGACTCCCAACCTAAATAAAAACTACAGAACCACAGCAAGCCCAGTACGCAAAGTCATTACTATATTTGTGAAATCTGTAAGCACGGAGACAATTCACATCTCTTGGAAAGTTGCACTACCAATGACTGCTTTAAGACTCAGCTGGCTCAAGATGGGTCACAGCCCTGCCTTTGGATCTATAACTGAAACTATAGTTACAGGTGACAGAAATGACTATTTGCTCACAGCTCTCGAACCAGAATCACCATACCGTGTATGCATGGTTCCCATGGAAACCAGCAACATCTATCTCTCCGATGAAACACCCGAATGCATCGAGACTGAGACGGCACCTCTTAAGATGTACAACCCTACCACAACCCTCAACCGAGAGCAGGAGAAAGAACCTTACAAAAACTCCAGCTTGCCCTTGGCTGCCATCATCGGTGGCGCAGTAGCGCTGGTGGCCATCGCGCTGCTGGCCCTGGTCTGCTGGTACGTCCACAGAAACGGGTCCCTGTTCTCCCGGAACTGCACCTACAGCAAGGGACGCCGCAGAAAAGATGACTATGCCGAAGCAGGAACCAAGAAGGATAACTCCATCCTAGAAATCAGGGAGACTTCTTTCCAGATGATACCAATAACCAACGACCAAGTGTCCAAGGAGGAATTTGTAATACACACCATTTTCCCACCTAACGGCATGAATCTGTACAAGAACAGCCACAGTGAAAGCAGTAGTAACAGGAGCTACAGAGACAGTGGTATTCCAGATTCAGATCATTCACACTCATGATACTGAAGGACACAAAAGACTGGTTTGGGTTTTGTTAGTTTTTTTGGTTTTGTTTTATTTTTTAAAGAAAACGAGAAAAGACTGACTTAACGGTTGCTGTTCTACTGCAAAACACTGGATTAAAAGACTGACAAAGCAATGTACTGTACATTTGCCATATAATTTATATTTAAGAACTTTTTATTAAAAGTTTCAAATTTCAGGCTACTGCTGCGATTAATGTAGTGGGGAAACCTGACCACAATTCTATATTTTAGTATTTTTTAGTAATTTGTACTGTATTTTCCTTGCTAATATTGAAGTTACAGACCATTTAACTTTTGTGTTCTACTGAGTAAGATGACTTGTTGACTGTGAAAGTGAATTTTCTTGCCGTGTTGAGCAGTCAGAACATTCATCTGAGATCCTTGTAAGTGTAAGCACAGGCCATTTTTCACTTTGGTATCAATAAAAATAATGTTGAACCTGGCAAATCAGGAAAATCAAGCACTGGTTGCAAAGACACAAGAGAACTTCTAATGTTGGGTCTATTAAATCTGTAAACCACAACAATATTCAATAAACAAAAATGCGTGTAGTAATGGGCAATATCAGCTGTCTGGATATATCCATTGAAGAATGGTGAAATCCAATTTAGAAGAAAATAATCAAATCGATGACATGCATGAGACTGAAGCTGTTAACACATGGGGGGGTGTGGAAATTGATCCCTGGAGGAAAGCATAATCAAATTCCTATCACGGAATTTTTTTTTTTTAAATGCACTAGGCTCTACAAACCAAGGGGGTGGATATGGTTTAGGGATCAATTTCTGGTTATTAAAACCAGTGGTCTGCTTATTACAGAGAAAACAGTGATTGGTCACAAGCATTTGGGAGGCAAGGGCAGGAGGACAGAGACAACACTTAAAACCTGCTTTAAACAGAAAAAGGGCTGAAGTGTAGTTCAGGAATTAAAAAGGAACAGGACAAGAAAAGACCACCCAGGCAATATAAGCAAGATCTCAAAATCTGTAGTCATGAAGGTAAACAGACAGTTGGGGAATACATATGTTTGAAAGTGTATACACAAACAGTATACAGGTATGTGTTCTATATACTGCCATTACAGTCAGGAATACTGCCCATTACTGTCACTTGTCAGAAATTCCTTGATAAATCTGTAAAGTAATATGTTTCTTTCTGCCTTCCTACTGAACTATGAGCTATTTCATGTTTAAACCCCAAGCCATTCTTTGTTGCCATAATCATTTGTTTCTCAACTAAAAACCAAAGTGCTTTGTACGCCCTTTGGCCAGTCTTGTATGTGCCTTGATCCAACGCTACATGTATCAAGCTTTTAAAAACTAAAAAAGGAAAAAGGAAAAAAATAAAATACCCATTTTTTTTCATACTTAACTTCATTATGAAAAATATTGGTCTTATTGATTAATAAAGTTGAAAAATTCAAAATAATGCTGCACCTCTTCAGTGCACTGACAGGAAACTTACTCCGAAGCTGCTACTATTCAGGTTGTGAGCTTCACCTTTTTCTGTGATGAACTTGACAGTTATCACACTTGCAGGGTTTCTTTTATTAATTGTTTGGAAACAAGTTTTCACAACTTTCAAGTGTGTCAATAATGAAAGGGAGGGAAGGCACAGAGTTACAAGTCTCTGAGATTATTTTGAGATGTTTGGTTTTTTTCCAACAGAAAACACAAATATAAAGAAAAAAAGCTCAATATTTTGAACAATAACTTGGAAAGAAGGAACGTATACCAAACACAATTCTATCCTCTATTCTCTAATTGAGAATTTCGGCAATATTTGGCCTGTGTGTTTCCATAAGAGTCACAAAAGATGGAAGATGACAAGAAAAAACAGTGACCAACACCAAGACTGATGGTTTCAGCAGTCAGCCTGCGAACAGTCTCCTGCCAGGGCTCTGTCTAACTGCACATACCCAAAACTACCAGTAACACAGTTCTATTGATCCTCATTTTCCATATGTGCCTAGAGAAGTTTCTTTCTAAACCCCCTGTGCCATGGTAATGTTTCCTTAACCTCACCTTCCAAAATGACTGCAGTTCCTGAGCAGTGGAGGAGCCCCAGGTGGAGGAACAGCACTGTGCTTCCCTACCAACCATGCACAAGTCATGTCTTCTCCTTGAAATGGAGCATTGATTGGATCCAATAGATCAAAAGTAACAGAAAAGGGCATGTTACACTAAGCAACTATGTGTTCAGCTCAGTGTAATGCACTAAATAATATTTTTGCTTTGTTTTCCCATCAGGTGCAAATCTAGGGAAACGTAAGAAAGCCAACAATAAGCATGAGGAGCTTCATTATGTTCTTCTACAAAAGGCTTCCGAAGCAGTTAGCAGGAAAGGAAAAAAGCACAGGTGGAGAAGACCTGGTTTTCATCTAAGCTAGAATATAGGGATCTCTTCTGTCAAAGATTCACATATTGGCTGGGTCACTGGCAAAACGCTACTAGTTCTTTGCCATCAGCACTCCCATAACAAAAGTCAATAGGTTTTGCTGGATTTTCAAGCTATTTACATGAAAACCTCTCTCCTACTTGACTCCAAACCTGTGTGGTGAAAGGAGTAAAAGAAAACTCAATGAGTACTCTTCCATGCCTCTTCTGAGTCACCTCAGTGGAGGCAGCCCAGTAATGGTATGTACCATCTGCTGCACGTCTTGGGTGATGCCACTCAAAGGTCATATTGCCTATAAAAAAGTTGCCACTTGAGGAGGAGATAATTGCATATGAAGGTTAAGTATGAGTACCTTTCATGTAAAATTTAGGTGCTATGAGACAAATCCAAAGCAACTTCAGCAGGTTGGCTCAGTTATTGCTGGTTCATCTCCACCAGAAAGAGGTTAAAAAGCCAGACAAGGGATTCAGTCCACTGGAAAGAACCAGGCCAGTTTTGCAGGGAGAGCTGGTATTCATCTAACACAATTTATATCCATGGGAAAAAATGGCACATCATGCATCCAAGACCCTCGTTACATTCTACAGCAACTTTAATGCAACATGCATAATATTGAAATGTGCTAATTTGGCAAGTGAATTATTAATTTGAAAATAGACTCCTTCATTTTTTTCTTTTGATACTTAACAGAAATTATTTTTATTCTTCATGTCATGCCTATCTCTTGAAGGCTCTCCTGCTTATCACAGTGCTGCAGTTACTGCATGCAATGCTCTCTAGCACCATGCATAAATCTGTTTTATTAGACAGTTACGTATGTAGGCAAATCGGATTACTACATTGAGCAGTTTACTCAACCCATTTGTCAAAACAACATTAATCCACATTAAATTTCTCTCAAATAATTTTTTAATTCCATGTTATTTCAGTGTATGGCTCAATGTTCAATTGTGAAGCAAGGAGGGAAATTTTTTTCAACACTGCCTAAACCTATCTGCAGAGTTAATTTAATCAGCATCCTCCATATTAAAATAGTACAAGTATCTTTTCATTCTTTATTATTGACCCTCTTTTACACCCTCCCCTCCCCATTATTTTTTTTTCCTTTGTTTATATTGTTATCCTGAATTGCTCACAGTTCTGTTTTAACATGAAAGCTTACTCCAAAAAGAAAGAAACAACCCTGGTACTTTGGAAACCACAATAATTTTGTCTCATCTTGGTACTTTCCAGAACTAAACTTGCTTTATTTATAAGCTATTATTTCCTAATTTTGTACAACAGCCTGAAATGCAACAACTGTTGGGGTTTTTTGTTTGGTTTTTTTTTTCTCCTGGTATTTAACAATACCAGTATCAGAGTATCACAGTCTTGGAACAGTTATTACCTGCTAATGCAGTAGCCGGCATGCAAGCTATATTGTGCCAATGCTGTACATATTGAATGTAGAGCAGCAAATGCAATAAAGCAAGAACAAAAGTTATAAAGCCTTATTTGCTATTAAAATAATTTATTGATGACACAACACTCTCAGCATGTATATAGACTTCTCTGCTAAGTAAGAGGATGCTACTTTGCTTGCTCGCCTGCAACTAAAGTTGGAGAAGATCTTGAAACGTGACCTGGCAGATGTCATCTGCCTGGATTTATCCAAACCACATTTGTTTTGGACAGTATTGGCTGAAACCATAATTCACAAAGATACCCTCTGCTTTTGAAACACCTTAGCTTTACTTCCAAATGCATACATTGTTTCAGCATCACCGTGGGACTGATCTTTATTTAACTGTTTCTTCACTGACATCAGAACAACAGCAAAAGCTTCAAGCCACAAGCCAGCATTTACCAGCAGTGAAGTTTGGTGGTTTGGTTTTTGTGTTGGTTTTTTTTATGAAGCACAAAGTTACTCCTTAACTGGGGAGTTTATTCTTCCAAACTAGTCAGGAGTGGTTTAGCCAGAAAAGAATAACCCATTGACTGAATTCAGACATGAAAATTTCACACTTGAAAGCATATTTTTTCTTTGCAAATGAATTTAATTTGGGGAGTGGGGTGAACAGAGCAGGAGTCCAACCCTTGTGATGTAATTAGAGCCCTTTCAAACACACTGAATTACACACATTCATGACACAGGTATCAGATTTTGGACACAGCTCCTCTAAAAGATTATGTTTTAAGTATGTGCATCTGATTTAGTTGTTACTTCACAAAATTATTTCCTGCTCCTTTCAAAAAATAATTACATAAAACTACATGAAGTACATGGACCTCGGTAAAACACTGACAGAGCATCTAGCTCAAAATAACTATCAGCTGCATTTTAACAGCACCTGACATCAAGCAAGACACTAATTTTACAGTAGTCTTCAAATGATGGCTGGGGAACATGCCTGTCCTAGGGGCAAGCAAAACACTTTAACAAAATGGGTGATAAAAGAAATAACCATCCTCTGGATTATCAGTGGTCTAAGGCAAAAGCGCACAACACACCTTTTGGAAACAGCAAATGTTCACCATGCATGAACATCATAAATATCCTACACCTCAAACCTGCAGGTCAGGACTGTAGAAGTTTATTACCCAACTTCAACTGTTTTTCAGAGCCCCTTTTTGCTTTCTTAGGATGAACACACAGTGGAGTCACAGTATAAAACCCCTCAAGATTAACAACATGAGCTGAAAAATTTGAAATCTGAGACTGGACCTTCTACACTTAGCAAGAGCACACAGAAATAGGTTATAAAAATAGAAGCATCTTATTAGGGTTAATTAAATAATCTGACTTGTTCAAGCTGGTTGATAGTATTCATATAGGCTGATACTCTGTCCTGAATAGCCCTCTTAAGTAATCAAAAAAAGGGAGAGGATCCTAGCCAAGTGCTAGTGCATGCTCCTGTCCCCTTACTAAGCTTAAGGAATATCTATCTATAGACGCAGCCATGGAAGGTTTAATTGTTCAAAATCAAGGGACTGTGTGATGTTCTTTAATCATGAACTATGGGAACATCATTGACAGAAGCCAGCAACAATGTACATATTATGCACAGCTTAATGTCTTTTAATTTAGGCACATCTGCTTTATGTAATACTGATTTCATCCAGTGGTCCTAGCCCCTGCCAAGTGAAAACACATGTTTTCTGGGGGTGTGGTGATTGGATTTATTTAGTTTGGGACTTCTGAATTTTGTTTTCTGTTGTGGGTTTTTTTGGTGTCTTATGTTTGGTTGTTGGTTGGTTGGTTGGTTGGGGTTTTTTGTTTGGTTGGTTTGGTTATTTGTTTTTTAATTAAGAGGTATAAAATTATTTCACTATAAATCTGTTTTCATTGGATACAAAAGTGAATTGGTTGATGATTTTAAGTGAACACCTATCCCACATCAATACATATTTAAGGCAGGTGCTGGT